TCTCTCTCTCTCTCTCTCTCTCTCTCTCTCTCTCTCTCTCTTCTTGTTTCCCCCCTTGAGCGGCGTGTTGACCAGAAAGTCACGCCAGCGACCGCACGATAATTACCTCCCCGCTTCCATGAGTAGGAATGAATGCACCTGACGCCGCGAGTGCACGATAATTACCTTACGAAGAGTGACACAGTCTCACAGATCACCGGTCGCGCAGTCGACCGCCGCTCGATCTATCGGTCCAATCTATCGGTCCAACCCGCATCCGACACATCCGGACCGTACGATGAAAATGAATATGGCATCTCCTATTACGAGAGCACATCTCAACCAATCTATCATGCTATTTCCCTATTCACTAAATTCCATTTTCGTATTTCCTAAATTCCTACAAAGGCTGCAATCCGCAACCTGTCAACGGCATCCTCTCTCTCTCTCTCTCTCTCTCTCTCTCTCTCTCTCTCTCTCTCTCCCCGTCTCTTTTTCTCTCTCCTCTTCCGAACAGAGGTGCTGCTACTGACCACCCATCCCGCTTGGAGCTCCCAGCGATGGCGCCCGCGCGCACGCGCGCAGCTGAGTAACTCACCAATCACTAATCAGACGTCGGCACGCAACGAGCTACCATAGTCATACTCGACGAAACGATTCACTTGTCGTGGTCTACGGGGGCCGGGATGTCCTTGAGTTGCTTGCCCACACTCTTGATGTCTGATGCGAAGTGATTAACGTCCCGATGATGCGCCTCGTCGGCGCGCACCGCCAGCACGACGTCGCGGAGACGCGCGTCCCGCGGAAGCGCCCAGTAGTCGATCGCGATCTGCGGCGCGGGAACGTTCTCTATCCTTCCCGCATCAATCTCCTCCAGATATCTGGTGTACGAGACAACCGCCTCCTCCTCGAGGTAGCCGACCACTCTGTGAGCGACACGTGGACTGATTACGTAAAGCAAGAAGAAGGCGTTCGCAAACACTCCTTGAGTCACGATCACCAGCGCTCTTTCCCATAACCGAGGCTTCGAAATTTCCATGAAAGTCATCAGATGCATGCGTTCATTCTCAGCCTCAGAGATCAGAGTTCGAATCCATCCGCCGCTGTGTTCGAATCTCCTCAAGGACTTCAGATGGAGGAGCATCCCCCCCACCATCCCGGGCACAGCGGCCACAGTCTCTAACATCACAGCACGGCAACCATACTTTTTGCGGAAAAACAAATCTGTGGGGACTCGCAGAGACTTTACCACGTAATACGCTAACTTATCGCCGAAATTTTGAGGCGGATGATGCCTTGTCAACTCAGAGACAGGGAGATCGCTGTCGTAGCGCACTGCATCTTTGGGGGAGAAGCACCTCCACGGCCATGGTGTCCCGTCTGCCCGCCTCAGCTTCGTTGGCTGCACAGCCCATTCCGACACCCGATGGGCGTCTTCCACTGCCGCGATCTCCCTCTTCGTATCCGTCGCGATCCCGCCTTTACCACCATGATCTTCGCGGGCCGTCCACTTTTCCGCATCTTCACGCATTAAGTCGGTGGAATCACTGCGCGCCAGGTCTACCGTGGCACGCGCTGCTTCTCTCGTACCCGTCACACCACCACTTCTCCCGCCCACGCCCGCGCCCGCCGCCGCCGTCGCCGTCGCGGATGATGAGAATGCTGCCGTCGTTCCAGGTAGCAAACAAAAGCGTCCGCTCTGAGGTTCGAACACGAAACCGTTGAGTTCGATCCCAGCTGAGCTGTGACTACAGGTGGACAGACCGCGGCGCACGTGCACATGAAGTAACACCCCCCCTGGAGACTGAGCGGCGAACCCGAGGCTAACCTGGGGTTCGACCTCCAGACCTCTCGGATGGAAGAGACGACCAGCGGAGTTCTTCACAGCAGCAGCGGCGTCCAGACTCCGCCGCACAGAGGTAATGTCCGATCGATCTCGGATCCCGACGTTTGCAGACCCATTGGTCAAAGCTCCCCCTCCTCGTCGAAGGACGTTCCCGAAGCAAGAGAGTTTATCGACGCTGGCGCGGCCGGGGCATACTGCAGCAGCAGCCTGCGCCGCAGCAGGCTTCATACTACCGTCGGCCTCACCGTTTCTTACCCGCCATCGCGGCGAATACAGGCTGCCAAAGCCATCAGACCTCGAAACTCCTCCTGACTCCGTGTGGTACAGATGGACCCGCCCATCGCCGGCATGACCGGATTCACCCAGATTGCACACTCCTCCTGCTGCTCCTCCTCCTCCTCCATGATAGCTGTTCAAACTCGCTCCGCCTACCGGTACTCTCCAAAAGACAGAGGCCGACTTCTCTCGACAAATGCCTGAGCCTACCTTCCACCCTACCGAGACGAACCCCATACCGACAATCAGCAGCACACCGTTCTCGGCACCCGCCCACCCCACCTACCCCTCCCTTCTTCCTCTCTCCTTCTTCGCACAGCAAGAAAACAGAACACTACTCTTCCTCGTAACGGGCCGGTCCGGAGAACGCCTGCGCTTGCCTTGTTTGGTGATGTCCAAACCGGCAGCAGAGCGTTACTTTCACTTCCACACCCGAAGTACTAGATCGGGATCGGGATCGGCATACCACCCAACCCGCGTGCTCAGAGCCTCACACAACGTCAATCTTCTTTGTCCCTTCTTCTCTTCTCGTCGCGCTTATAGAATCGTCAAATCTAATGTCGCCAAATATATAGTAAATTTCGTTACCCTCTCTCTCTCTCTCTGTCTCTCTCTCTCGCTCTCTCTCAAATGCCTTTCAGCTCCGACAGGACGCTACGAGGACCTCACGATTGTATGTGCAGTGTTTTGTTTTGTTTTTTCCTGAAGGCTATTTTTTCCTGAGGGCCGAGAAGCCCATCCCGATCAACTTTTCAGAGAATGCTAAGGGCATCGCCACAGCACTCTCGAAATGTGCAAAATGAGAAAGAACTTTCCGCTACAACATGTCCAGATGCGTCAGCGACATTTTTGTCTTTTTCACATTTCGAGAGTGGTGTGGCGACGCCCTAAGAGTACTTTTCCTAGACCGAAGGGGCCTTGCTGCACTACTCTCCGACCGAATGTGGAAAATGAGACAGAATCCATTGCTAGAACATGGAAAGATACGTTGCCATCGTTTTTGTCGTTTGTGCATGTGAAGAGTAGTGCAGCGAGGCCCTAGATGTGTCTGACCGACGCCCGCGCTGCATGTCTCCGGCCGTAATTACGTCCAGAGATGAGTCAAAACGTCCTGCCTTCGGGCGAGCATGCCCTCTCTCGCATCAAGCTCCACGTGCCAATTCAATTCAATTCAATTCAATTCAATTCAATTCAAATTTCAAAGCAAGTGTTGCCGCGGCGGGGTTGGACTTTCGCATTGAAACTGCATTTCCTCAAAAAAAAAAAAAAAAAAAAAAAAAAAAAAAAAAAAGGAAATTGCAATCGACCAAAAAAAAAAAAAAAAAAAAATTTGCAATCGACGGCGGCGCCGTCACACAACCTTTCGGGCGGGGAGGTGCAGCACCTCCTTTCGGGCGGGGGAGGGCCTGGCTCACCATATATGCGCAAATATGACAAAAGAATATTGCGAAGTCCATGTTCCACGGTAAGATTCGGTTCTTTCGTTTGGTTTGGTTTGGTTTGGTTCGGGTTTCTGTTTTCAGTACATTGACAATTCGAGGCCGGGGGAGAAGCCCTGAGGGCCTCGTTAGACACTCCTTGTGGACCCGAAATCCACAAGGAAATGATGGTTCCACCTGTCCTTGGGGACAATTCTCCAAAAAAAATGTGAAAACACCACAAGGAGATTTCCTTGTGGCGTCCTTGTGGCCACAGCCATTTTTTCCTTACCCCCAAGGGACCTCCCGAGGTCCCTCAGAGCACAAGGAAGCACGAAATTCGAAGGGGCGAAGGCATGCGTCGACGAGTCAACGCACACTTTCGGTTCGTGGGTGGTCTAGACGTGGTCCACCGAATGGCAGCATGGACATCCCTGCGTCGAGAATCTGCACGGCGTCCCAACGGCTCCAAACGGTAACCGTCGGCGTGAGGCCTCCGTCCGTCTACGCGAATTGCCGGCTGGCGTCCTGCGGTCTGCTGCGGCGGGCGATCGTTGACAACAGTCCGAAATTCGAATGCTTTTCCCACCCGGCGCCCCTTTCGACGATGACAGTTTCATTGCAGAAGATCGTTGTTTTCTTCGTTTGTCGTCACGCGCCGCACGTTGGAGCACAGATCTTCCACCGATCTTTCTTGTTTCCACGGGCTTGTTCGTTGGACGGTCGACCACTGTTGTCGGTTTGTTGCCCTTTGAACAGCCCTCACATGGGTGACCTGCTGCACAGGCTGCCTCTGCTGCTCCTCGTCGTCGTGCTGCTTCTCGTCGTTGTCTTCTTCCACGTGTGTTTTGTCGGCCTCGTCCCGCTCGCAGCTCGCAGAAGGAGATCTTCCAAGAAAGCTGACAGAATGGATCGACGAGTGGCCAATGGTAGACGGGCAGGCACAACCTCCGGACCGAGCAATCGGCAACGCAGTGCAGGGTCTGTATCGAAGCAGCCGTACGACCCGAGGTTGTATGCTCACCTGCCTTCTCACGAGATTCCTCTGCCGCCGTCAGATGATGAGGGGGAAGACGTGAGGTTGTCGACTTTGCCGTTGGGAAGTGGTTCGACGCAAAAGTGGGCAGCGACGCAGTCGCACGGCGGCAAGCGGGTGGAGACCCCGTGGTCTTACAAGTCACTGCTGAACGAGGGGCTGTGCGACAACGACAACAATGCAGCGGTTGATCTCAGCTTCCAGTTGTCCAACAGCAGCGGAGCAGCGGCAACGCACACTCGAATCATCAATCCCCACCCGGGCGGGCATTTCGCGGACAACACGTACGGTGGTGTGTCCGGTGCACGAGACGGAGGTCTGCCTCAATCGCTTCGCGAAGGAGGCGGTAATCGAAATGAGTCGTCAACGAGTGTCGGAGGAGGAGTCGGTGCGGATGAACGTCCGGAGTGGATTTGTTTGTCACCTGCGTCGCTAAGCGGATCCGGGACTCCTCGAGGACGGCAGCGCCCGGAGGATTTGCGTGACAGAGGTGCGCGTGTGCAACGCGACGGCAGGCAGTTGTGGGCAGAGTGCAGGCAGGCCTTGCATCAAGGTGGAACGGAGACAATCACGAGAGGGGTGCAACAGCTCCACGTCGACGAAGGCATTGAAGCGGTTGTTGACGAGGCCCGGGGGTGTGACGAGGTTGACGGTGATGACATTTGCAACTCCGACGATTTGCCAGACATAAGATCGCTTGGGAGGAAGGCGGCAAGCGGCGGAGCGACTCCGAAGAAGGGTCCCGCAACGAAAAACCGACGGAATAGGAAAATGGATGACGACACAGGCCGGAGCGATGGCGAGGGCGGCCGAAATTTCTGGTCGGTGGGAGACACGTTCGCACTCGTCAGGGCGAAAAGGGATCAAGATCTGTATATCGCCGGCATGAGCACCAGTTTCGCCCGCATGAAAACGAGGGAGTGGAAGTGGGAGGACGTGCGGGCGAGGTTGCAGACGATGGGCGTGACGAGGGAGACCGTCGACTGCGGGAAGAAATGGGACAACTTGATGCAGCAATTCAAGAAGGTCCACAAGTTCCAGAACCTCTCCGTCGGGAAGGACTACTTCAAGCTCGCTTCAAAGGCCAGCCAATCGGAGGGCTTCAGCTTCGTCATGGACCGGAGTGTGTACGACGAAATGGAGGCCATGACGAAGGGGGATCACACGATCCACCCGAAGAATTTGGCGGACACGGGGGCGGCCGGGGGGGTTCAGATGCCGGCAGGCGCGGTGGCCGGAGGGGAGACCATGGCCGGTGAGGGTGGAGGGGAGGCCGCCGACGAGGAGCAGGGGTCGACGAAAGACTCCACATTCAGCGCGGGGAGCAGCGGCGGTTATGGGAAGAGGAAGAACATGCAGCAACAAACTTTTGAGGCCGTCGCCGACGTCATGGACAAGCATGGTGCGCTCATAGCGAGCACAATGGACAGCGCGAGCAAGCGACAATGCTCAATGATGTTACGTCAGTGTGAAATCCTAGAGAACGAAGTGGAAGTGCAGAGGAAACATTATGCTGCGGCGGATGAGGCGAACAAAATGATGTGCACCGCTCTTATGGAGATTGCAAAAGCCATTCGCCAGAGATCATGAGTGATGCTGACAATGATGTCCGCTTTTGCTTTGGTGGACTTTCTTTCCACGAGTTGCGCCTGCGACTACGGCGACCTGCGTGTGCGTGCGTGTGTGTGTGTGTGTATGTGTGTGTGTGTTTGTGTGTGTGTGTGTGTGTGTGTATGTGTCATCGGCAAATGCTCAACAACACCTTTCTTTGAATTTTTTTTTTTACTTGTTGCACTTCGTCTTCCAGGTGAGTAGCAGAGATGAGCACTAGGTACCCAGACCTGCACCCACTTGCACCCACCCCACCCGCGAGGATTTTGGGTCAGGTGCGGGTCTTGATAAGGTGACCGGGGTGGGTTGAGGGCGGGTCAAGGCCAGGCAGCCTGGGTGGGTGACAGGTGGGTCAACATTAGCCCAAGGTCACCCAAGTGGGTGGGTGACAGGTGGGTGAGTGCTAGGCCTGGGTCACCCGACCCACAGACCCAGGACAACCCATGAGGACCCCCTCCCCCCCCACCCCCCCCAATCCCTGCACGAAATGTCCACCCGCCTAAAAAAGTCGAAGATGCACGCACGAAATGTCAAGTCCCGCCTTCGGCCTGCCTGGAAAAAAAAAAGGTCGAGGTCCTCCTGAAAAAAAACAAGTAGGAGCCTTCTTTCAAATTTTTCGCACGCTGCTCTTGCCTCTTGGCGGCTGCACCACGGCCCATGTTTGGATGAGTTACCGCTTTCAAACGGGATGTTGAGTTTCTCTCTCATTAAAACAACAGGGGGGGAACCTGACCACAACAGGTGGCAAGGTTCGCTCTCCACTTTTGAACTTCTGGAGCGCTTTGAATTTTGGCGCCGTCATCCAGCGACGGCACAACTTGTGCATGGTTCAGCAGCAAGGAGGAGGTGGCGGGGTGGCGAGGAGGTGAGCAATGCACCAACGGCCTGGGGAGCAACAGCGCGGCTGCAAGCCACGCACCGATGGCCTGGGGAGCCACGCACTGACAGCCTGGAGAGCAACAGTGGTGCTACGAGTGAGCAGCAGGAGAGAGAGAGAGAGAGAGAGAGAGAGAGAGAGAGACTCTCTCTCTCTCTCTCTCTCTCTCTCTTGGAGCGTGTTTGGTTTTGTCATGTCACGTCATAATGTCCTATTGTCTTTAAATGTTCGAAGGGATAGACAATAGCGGGCACGGTCGGGCGCGGGTGAAAAGATACTACATCCCGGGTGCGAGCGGACAATGATTTTCTTGCGGGTGCGGGTGGGTCTGGGTGAACCTTTTTTACGGGTGGCGGGTGAGTTGGGCGTGGGCGGAAAAATTCGAAAAAATGCTTGGGTGGGTTGGATCAGCTTTAAACCTTTTTTTTTTTTTTTTTTTTTTAAGGGTTGCATGTACTAAGAAAATTTTGGGTGGATTGGGTGAAGTGGCATTTCAAAACAAAAATGCTCATCTCTGTCCGTCAGTCGGTCACTATCGTATCTCCGACGGGTTCCTACTCCTCCACACGACAGGAAAGGACTTGTTAGTGGTGCCCCAAGATCGCATCTTACGGACTTGCCTCCTTGGCGAATTCCACGACGCACGACTTTCGGCACACCTTGGTGTGACCCACACATTGGCCCGCCTCCGCCATCGTTTTCACTGGCCCGACGTTCTCCGCGACGTCACGAGGTACATTGAGTCCTTCACAGTTTGCCATCGTAACAAAGGTTGATCTCAGGTCCCTTATGGCGAACTGAAACCGTTGCCGATTCCTCGGGCACCTCGCCTCTCCATTGCTATGGATGTTACAGGCCCGTTCCCACACGATCGCCTCGGTCATGACGGCATCCTCACGGTCGTTGACCGTTTGAGCAAGTACGCTCGTTTTCTTCCATGCAAGTATCATGCTACAGCCCCCGAGCTCGCACAACTCTTGCACACCGGCTGGATTACTTGCCACAGTGTCCCGGAAGACATTGTGAGCAACAGAGACACTCGCTTTATGTCAACCTTTTGGACTTCCCTCATGGCGGAGTCCGGTTCGACTATGAAGCTGAGTTCCGCACGGCACCCGCAAACGGATGGGCAGACGGAATGAGCGCATCAAACCGCTCAAATGATGTTACGTACACTCATCCGTCCGGACCAGAAAGATTGGGTTGACCGGCTTCCCGAAATCGAGTTTGCCTATGACACTTCGGTGCACCCGACGATCTGCATCACTCCATTCGAGTTGCATCACGGTGGAGAGAAAGCTCGAGTCTTTGCCGATCTTCTCCTACCACGGGCCGCCGACATCGACGTCGCTTGCTCTCCCTCTTCCTCTCGGAAGTACCGGGACTTGCTGATCAAAGCCCGAGCAAATATGCAAAAGGCTCAAATCCGCATGCAGCAGCAAGCTAACCGACGTCGACTCCCATGTCCTTTCCGCGAGGGAGACCTTGTTTGGGTACTCGCCGAGGAATTCTCGCTGGAGCAGGACATCTCGCGCAAACTCCTCCCGAAATGGTTTGGACCATGGAAGGTAATTTCTGCAGCAGGAGGCGACCCTGCTGGCCCTTTGTGATTGCCATTCCACCAGACCTCCTCGTGCACCCGGTCTTCCATGCATCAAAGCTGGCCGTGTATACGCCACCATCCGAGGATGAGTTCCCGGGCAGACGATCACAGCATCCGCCCTCTATGGACGGACATCAAGAAGTTGACCGTGTCATCATGCATCGCAAGTTTGGCAACATGCCAATGCAATACAAAGTCACATTCAAGCAACGTGCACCTGATGAGACTCGCTGGATCTCCCGCGCAGACTTACAGGCATCTGCACAACTCATCTTCTCTGACTATGAGAACCGGCGACTTGCCAAGGACAAAGTTCGTCCCACCCGACCCACCCGGGTATCAGACAGACAACTTCATCCTCGCAGGTAGCTCGGTCTTTTAAGGAGGGGAGTGTGTTACATACTCCACACGGGCCCTTTCAGGCCCGACGACTTGGCTGAGGGGTTCCGAGGGCCTGGATGCGATAGTCCAAGCCAGGCCGGCCCAAAGGCCGAACCTTTGTAGGCCGCCCCTTTGGCCTTGCGCAACCGGTTACCTGCAGCTGCAGGCCCTGGGCGGGAAATGGCCAAACGTTTTCTTTTGGACCAGGCCGCCATTCAGGCAGCCTGTTTCCCGAAAACCAGTCCAACCTGAACCACGGATCAGACGATAGATCCGGCGGTTCAGATCGGAGGCCACCTTCGGAGGCAGAGGCTGAACTGGCCGTCGGCCGGTATTTAGGCCCAGCCAACAGCCATTTCCAGGAAGGGGAGTGCAGCAGCACTGAGGAGCGAAACACTGCGCTATTTCTGTTCCAGCGCAGCGCTAGGTGTAGCGCTGGCTGTGGAGAGAGCAGCGAGGAGGGAGACTTACCTGACAGCCACCGCGAGCGCCATAGCTCCCAGCGTCACAGCCATCTCCAACAACAGCCAAGGCGCCACCTTTCATCATCAGGTAGGGCCTAGGACTCCTCGCCATCTCCACCGATGCCCTGCCCCTCTCAGGTCTTCTTCTTCTTCTTCTTCTTCTTCTTCTTCTCCAGCCCCCTTCTTCCTCTTCTTCAGATGAGAGACTTTGGGTACGAGATGGACAGAGATCAGTGATTGGACTTCGGTGGTAGGAGGATGTGATACTTACTGGATTCGAGACATTGGAGATCTTTGGGATTGATACCTGGCGGCATCACAGATCAGACATCGGTTACATTAGGATTCTGTACCTCCAACATTGGTGACTAATGTCTACGACATTCTGATTCGTTTGGTGACATTTTGGGCTACTATATCAGTGACATTCGGGATTCTATTTCGGTGACATCTGGCGCTGTCCCTATCTCCCACCTCCATCGTGTCTCCTCCCACCATTCATTTGTGTATCGGTGTAGAGGGCTGAAGCATCATCTATGTATGGCTTCAGACCCCACCTTCTCACGATTGTTCGTGTGGTTGAGTGATGTCTAGATGGGTTCAGTCTATGTGAGTCAGTCCATATCTCAGACTTCCGCTGCATATATGTTCATCCTATATTGGTTGATCTTTGGTTCTGCCCATACTTGGTGAAGGTATTCACTAGTAGGCAACATGTAGCAACAACCCTCATAAAGCCTGGGCAGGCAAGCATCCCCCTCCATTCTACTGGGTCAAGCTTACAGACTATGTGTACTCAAGCCTTGCACGCTGAGCACACAAAAATCGTACACCCATCCTCTGCTCTGTAACTTCTATTTCACATGTGTGGAAACAGTCCAGTACCTTCTGTTCACGCATGCGGAACATCTGAGCTGGGCCTAGCGAAGGGCCCCTTGACAGGGGAAGGATGGGCCTTCACTTCCAGAAGCGCGAAGACTTGACCGTTGGTCTCGATGGATCCCGGTGTTTGAATAACATGCTTGGCAAATGAAAACTATTCCCCCACCAAAAAAAAAAAAAAAAAAAAAGTTCTGGACCCAACAATCGTCCCAGAGAGAACAAGTTCTCCGCTCGGCTGCAGGAGTTATGTATAAGTAGAGTAGTAAATGAGGAAGGACCAGGACTATATAGAGTCCACATAACCAAACCAAGTCTTCCCACATCCAATCAACAATACACTGAGCTTCATGGAATGTACAAGTCAGTTAGAAACAATCAATGATCAATGAGCAGATGAAAAGATCATCATCATCATACAAGTGAACTACCATTTCATTGGTCTTCATCAATGCCTTCTCATGCTCAGTGCAGACCCCATCCAGCCCAGGTTTTAGCCCTTCTAACAACCCTCAAGACCCCAACCGGGGCAGATTTTACCCCTTCTGACACCCTTTCAACCCCCCCCCCCCCCAGCTAGTCGATTCTACTCCTAACACCCCTTTGAAGCCAGTTCTACCCCTTCTAACCCCCCTTCCAACACCCTTCCAACACCCCTTAGAAACCCAAGCACACCAGGTTTTACTACTACTAACACTCCCCAGACCTGATCCAGCCCAGGTTTTAGCCCTTCTAATATCCCTTAGATCCCATCCAGCCCAGGTTTTACCCCGTCTATGTGTGTGTGTGTGTGTGTGTGTGTGTGTGTGTGTGTGTGTGTGTGTGTGTGTGTGTGTGTGTGAGAG